TAATTGTTTTTCATGATGGTGAATGATTGATGGTAAAGAAATGAATTCATATTTTGTCATATTCTCATTTTGATTTCTTTTTTAAACCAGGCCGGTGGACATATTTCTATCCCAAATTCTCTATCACAGCACCATTCCAACTGGACGATTCCATTTTTCTTCTTGTTATAATCGAAATCGTGTGTAGAATAACAAAAGCATTTGCAAATCAATTCCAGGTTTGGCATAAACAGATCATGGTGATTTAGAGAGATAGAGACGACAAAAATGGTCAAACGAAAATACTGGAACGTTAAGAGAATTTTAGGAAAACGGATTCACCCAGTCAATGGCGTCGAATACTTGATCCATTGGGCGAATTATCCCATTGACCAAGCATCATGGGAACCAATATCGAATCTCGATCGATGCATTGAAAAATTAACAGAATTCGAATCGGAGGAAATACAGGCGTTTGAACAACAAGGAATTCAAATCGAAATGTTAGAAAGATTTATTCAAAACAATGTCGCTCTTGTTTCAGTTTTAGCTGAAACCCTTGTGGATGCCCTTGGTGACGCGGTGAACGACGGGGACGGCGCTGTGGGTGGTATGGACACCGTCATTGATGACGAGGAGAATGACAGGGACGGCGCAGTGGGTGGTATGGAAACCGTCATTGGCGACGATGGGGAGGAAGACTCGGCGCCCATAAATATCCGAATCGATGGTAATCGTCATAAAATTGACGATCGTCGTGGCCACAAATGCCATATTTGTTAATTCAGTTGCAATAGACTGGACAACTTGAATGAACACATCAAAACACACGACATACAACGTGATAAAAAACACAAATGTTCTTTTTGCGATTATAGATCTGATAGAAAGAATAATCTTGATCGTCATGTGACGAAAGTACACACAGAAAACTAAAAAAGGCACAAAAATTTCCTTATATTTAGATGATGCTTGGTTATAATTCCACAAAACTATGTTGCAAAAAGAAAATGTAAAACAGATAATAAACAAACAAAAACATCACACAACTGACGTTTCATTTGACAAATAATCGCATAGATAAATGTAAATAAACACGAACAGAGTTTGCTTTGACGATGTCTCAAATTGCAAGACCGGAAGACATTGCGTTAAATCAGACCATTCATGATTTAAATGCTAAATGGGGTTGGTTTCATCAAATTCGTTCCGCAAAAACCGCAGAATGGAATAACGATAATATGATGGCTTTGTTTGATGCAGATTGTGTTAAAACCGTTATTGCTTTTGCCATTCTCAATGACGATGCTCAAACAGTCAACAATTATTTTGTGTTCCATATTTGCGCAATGCATTCGAAATGCAAATGTCGATGCTATCGTTTTGCGGATTGGATTTTTGTTGAAAAACCAAAGAAGCGCATGAATGTTAATTATTTTACACGCGATAAAATGGATATCATCAGTTTTTTGTTGGCTACAATTCATTGGAACCGAGAAATTACTCGAATTGAATTCATTAAATTGAATGGAAATTTAATTAACATTCAGATGCCTTTGTCACAAGAATTATGTGCCATTCTTGGCTTTCCATATTTGTCGCCCGCTCAAAACGGTGGTGTTACAACCACAATTGATTCTTTTCTTAGCGAAAAGATATCATACGTTTTGGATAAATGCATTCCTCATGAAAATCCGGGGCCATATGTTGTACGAGACGCCGACGATAAAGTTGTTGAAGTACTTCAGTACCATGTGATACCTAATTACAGTAACTATGAAATTGATAAGATGCTAAACGGCACAGCCAACTACTCCATTGAAGAGGTTAAATATCTCAATAGCAATACTAAAAATATTGCTACGTTTTATAAACGTCTTCTTTGGAGATATTTGGTTTGGCCTTGCTATCAACTCTTTAACATTGAAACTGTAAAAAGCGGACCATTCGCTGATGTTACTTCATCTGATAGCCAATTCCGTCTTGCTGTCACTTTATTCAAACGCGAGCTCAAAGATATGTCCATAAATTCTGTGACCAAACCTATGACTCAGAAACATTCTAGCAGTTTCTCACTAAATTTCTGATTTAATTTCAATAGCATCAACTTAAAACTGAAGAGCACACCGCGAAATATCAAAGTCCGTGAAATTACCATTCAAAAAGAAACAAAAAAAGAGACCAAACCATTACAAATGAAGAAAAAGGAGATTAATGTGAAGAGAACAAATTCGAAAAAGAAGCACGCTGCTTCGAAGGCACAGTCGAATAAATCGATCAAATCATTCTTTGGATCTAAGCCATCTACAGACTTCAGACTACAGTGACATCTGGAAGCTTCGACAAGCTGAAAGAATTTGAGTTCAAACCTCCAAATGTAAGTATATTTCATGCCATTAGTTTTGCTTGCTACTTTAGTAGCACTGTTTGTACTTTAGTGTTTTTTTGTATGCGTTGACACTTCGAAATGAAAAATAAATTTCAAACTGAACACACAGTGTCATTAGTAATCCAATAATGTAAATGTTTGATTTAGATTCGCCAGTTAACAAGAGTGCATATTTTCCGAAGAAAGAGGCAGTACAAGATACTTACTCGAACAAAGACAATTCACTGATAATGACTCAAGAATCTAACAAGATATCGTGGCAATAGAACGAAGAAAAAGAGAATATTACACCAATGAACAAAGCATCGAAACTCATCCAATCGACGAAAAGTAATTCACCACATTTGCAGAATTTGAAGGGACAAAAGCAAAAAAGTAGCGATAATCAAACTGGTTCAACGGTTACTGATTTTTCGGATCTCAGCGATTTTGGTTCAACGGCTTGGTTGTTGGCGTTTCGTCAGTCACAATTGCCAAACCAGAATTGAAAGGAATTTACAAATTTCGTGAAGAGATGCGTAAAATTCAATTTGACAGCAAATTAGAAACCGAGCCAACAAAAGAGACGGAGACATCGGTGATCGAAGCAAGTCCATTGTTTGAGGAATTAGCAAATATTGAATTGAATCCAAAAAAAGGTGATTTTGATCTGATTTTGATTCAGTCTATTTCCTACGCCACCATTAAAATGGGTTAAAACAAAGGCTGAAGCGAAGACGCGATTTCATGGCTCTGATGGTACTGATGTTTTGTTCAATGTGTCACATCTTGATCAAACAACCGAACAAACAAAGGCTGTTGAAACAGTTGCAACCAATTCGACGGAAACGAGCGTGAAAATAACAAAGTCAGTGCCGAAAATGAAAGCAAGCAGTAGCAGCAGTGATTGGAATATTGCTGTCAATGATGATGACGACTTTTTCGATGATTTGATGAAAGATTTTGACGTTGACATAAAGACATTAACCAATTCCACCAAGGACACAACAATGCCGAAACAATCACAAAAACGCAATGCATCGTCAACAAATTCGGGTATGTACAATTTTATTTTTCGTTGAATAACTTGCGTATTTGATATTATCAAAAAACCAATTACTTTGTTACATTCGTTTGAAAATTGATTGACGCCTGCTCGCGCCTGCTCATAAACTCAAGTGTATTTTAATAGTGAATTAACAACGTTTTTCGCCTATTCCTTTTCAGAATTTACAACATTGAGATTGGAATACATATGAATAGAATGAAAAAATTTCATAATTAACATATCTTTTCACTCTTTGTAAATCTGCCGGCATTTGTTTGTTTATATTTCTGGTTGAAATTATATTGAAAATGATAAAAATGGTAAGTATCTCTTGAAATTTGTTTGCTCCTGAATTATAATATCTTTCTTTTGGAGTCACATTCGCATAAAGTAAAGAGTAAGTAGCCGATTTTACACACATTCCAACATAAATTTGCTGTCATCGTCTCTTTTATATAGGAAAAGCGGCAAACCAACGATAGCAGTGCAAATCAATTAGTTCGAGTTATCTGCTCTGCTCGTTAAATTGTGCAAATTCTCTCTGTCTTTCTCTATCAAACGTAGTTTGCGTTGGATGAGAGATTTAGTCAATAGTTGGATGAGAGAAGTTTCTCTTCAATTTCAAATCACTGAGAATTCGCTATGAGATCATTTTTAGTTTGTGTATATGCCAATGATACAGCGCGCCAAAATGCACAGTACGTTTGTGTGTTCTTCACTCAGACTCATTGACTGTGTGTGTGTGTGTGTTGTAGACACAAGCGAACGAAGGGCCAAACGTGCATCGTGCTGCTAATAGCGGAAGAACAAAAGAGAAAACGAAATTGAATACCGATAGCTACCGACTAACGAAATCGGCAGATTTTGTGCACCGACTGTAGCTAACTGATGATGACACATTCTATTGTTCTGTGAAGTGCGTGCAACACACAAGACGCTCACTCAATGTGATAGAAGATTTGAAGAAAAGTGATCTGATTTTTTTTTAAATAAATAATATTCAAATATTTTCAAAGTAAGAAGTAAGATTTCTTTTATTACGGCGAAATTCAACACCACTGACGCCGCCGCCGCCAATGACGAAAATATTAAGAAGGTAATAATTTAGATTTATTTTTATATATATTTTGAAAAAGAGATCACTGCGATTTATTTATTTATAATAAATGGATTACTGTAATTAATGCTAAACTAAATTTTTTTCGTTAGCGAGACGCATCATCAAAGTCGCAGCGCGACAATGACAAGGAGAATGTTGCGGGAGCTTCATCGACCAAAAAACAACGACAAAAACAACCCCGGCCTCCATTACGTCAGTTAATCAACAACAGCGCAATTATTATTATTGATTCGGATGATTCGGATGCAGCAGAACCAGAAACATTCAAACTTTTCCGTACAATGTGCAAAATTTGTTCAAATCATCATAAAAAAACTCTTGAAACGCGTAGAAAACACATTTTCGAGACACTTTTCTGTTAGTATGCCGTTCGTGTGCCGTCTTTCATTTGATCATAGAAAAATTCTCTTGCCATGAATTTTGTTCGTGGAGTACTCGTCAATCGCATCAAATGATGTGAGCTGTGCGCTTTCACGCGACGCAAAATGGCCGAATTGAAATTTGGCATCGGTACAATGGCTTCTTCTTCCTCGTCCAAACGATGGCGATTTGCACGGCAGAACGTCATGCGGTCTGGACGTCATCGTGTCTCAGACACAATGTCCTTTTTTTATGCGCATTCGTGTCTGATTTCTTCAGACACAACGTCGTTTTTTTATGCGCGAAATGCGTTGACGTGTCTCAGACTCCACAACGCGAATGCAGTCCCACAGCGAACCACCCCAAAATTGGAAAATTACAACAGAGTCTTAGGTAGGAGAATTTTGTAAATAAGGCTCTTTTTTTTCAATTTTGTGCATGATATTCGATCGGAAGAGCTCCTCAAATCCCGTGAGATGTCACAGTTTTTCGAGATCATCTGGATATAGCTCCTCGAGCTGAAATTGGCTGGTGGCTTGCTACTATTGTGACGAACACTAGAAGAATCAAGAATCTTATTTGTCCACTAAAAATTAAAACCTCAAACCTCAATTACACTCTTAGTTGCAGGTGGTGTTACAGTGTCGCAGCGCGACAAAGATGCGAATGTTATGAGAGGTTCATCGATCGATTTGCTAAGTTTGAAGTGTGACAAGGTCAACGAGGTCATTCGAGCACCATCACCCGATCTGTTCAGTGATTGTGATGATGATGAATCCGCCGCCAATGACGAAAATATTACAAAGGTAACAATTTAGATTTATTTTTATATATATTTTGAAAAAGAGATCACTGCGATTTATTTATAATGAATGCATTACTGTAATTAATGATAAACTATATTTCATCAGGGAGACGCATCATCAAAGTCACAGTGTGAAGTCGAGAATGTCGTGCGAGCACCATCACCAGATATGTTCAGTGAGTGTGATGATGAGTTCGATGTGTTGCAGCGCAACAAAGACGAAAATGTCGCGGGAGCTTCATCACCCGATTTGTTTAGGATTGATTTTGTCGATGATTCCGATGTTGTTGTTACACATGAAAGCGAATTGTTGCCAGACAACAATGGGATTGACAATTTAGAAGCAACATCATCATCGACATTACCGTTAAATAACCCAAGTGGAATTTTCATTGATTTGGATGATTCGGTTGAAGCAGAACCAGAACCTATTGGTATGTAAACACATTCAAACTGTTTTTTTTTATTCATTCAAACTGTTTGTGTGTCCTAAATCACCGAGATTTAATACATGATTGCACTTATAGTTGCAGGTAACGCAAGCAATACCGCGGAGAAGAAGAAGAAGAAAAAAAGAATGCCGCGCACATTACCTGAATGGTTGGAACCAAAGCGAATAACACCAAGTGCCACAGTACCATCAGCATTATCATCTGCTCAACATCTACACCGGCCACCATTACAGCCAATTGACTCTAACAAATGGATGAAACGAAGTAATTGATATTCAATTCTCAATAGCATCACTTTTTTGTGTTTGTGTGTATATGCTCTTTCCTTTCTTCCCATCATATGTGTCATCACACTATTTATAATCGAACTTCAATTTTCAAAGTAGGATCCACAACGAATTTAATTTATCGAACAATTCCATACAGTGAATTTCTAGGAAATTATCAACATGCAATCAATTGAGCATTTGAAGCGAAATTTCGATTGTTTGAATAAAACATAATTTCACATTTCGATTTGCTTCCACGAATCTCGAAAAAAAGCAACAGCAAAACGGCACAAAGCTAGAGAGAGAGAGAGAGCGCGCGCCTTATGTGCATCGCATATGATAGAGAGTGTACAAGTGCAGTTTGAATGTGGTGCTACTTTAGTAGCACCGCTTGCTACTTTGGTGTTTGGACATAATTTCTTTTTGAAAATTGAATATATAATTCAAAAAACAATCTGAAATATAATTGCATTCTTGTGATTTCCTCCATTTCATCAAACCAATACGATGATTTTCTAATGAGAATGTTTGTTTGTTCATTGTTGTTTTTTCAGGCACTGTCACAGCCACACTCACCAAGCCACCATCTAAGCCAACAGCGTTGTCTCGTGAAAAGAAGAGGTCATCAAATATCACAACTTTTGATATAAATCAATTGGGCCAATTGGCGAAAACCAAAATTATGGTGGCAAGAATCAATGATCACAGCGAACTAAAAGAGCAGCGTGGGTTCCAGTTGTATCGAAAACTGAAAATGTTGTACCAGAAAAAAGGATTCGATGAAATGACCAGTGATGGTTTTTCGTTAGCCAGCATTGTCTTAGCCTTGGCTTACACCAACAACTGGTGTAAGCCAATCGTTAGCCAGCTATCTGTGTGAAATGAGTACATTCAAAGTATAATAATTTTTGATTTGCGTATTCTGATTCAAATCATACAAATTTTGAAAAAAAATTAATATATTCCAATTAATTTTCAATTTAAAAGTCATTTTTATAATTTGAGTTATTTTTTTTTCAAAAACTCAATAAAAAATGTCGATGTTTGGTTTCATTTGAACTCTGACCTGGTGATTTAAATGTCAATCGCAAACGTCAGTTAAGATGAGTGCGTTCAGTTCTTACTGAAGTTTTCTCACTGGTCTACACATTCGTTAGCCAGTATACACTTATGCGGCTAATTAGCCAGCTAATTGGTTCTTCACTGGAAATGACCATCGGATACATGTTTCGGTACAGCAATCAGCCACGGTACATTGGCGGAAGTCAAGCTAAGAATGACGGCCTTACATTTCATCCGTTGTTGGGGACGCATCGTACAATTAATCACATGCAAAGAGTCAAAGATACATACAATGGTACATATCGAGGATGTCAACGTAATCTATATACTAAACTGACCGATGGCATTGACATTGACACGTTCGCCGAAAATTTCTCAATCACAATACTACACGATGTACACGTACCGAAGGAAATTTTCGAAGCGTGCGTCTATAAAGCACTGAAAGCCAGAAAAGATGGCGCAAAAATACGAAAGAAGCTGCTGAATGTGCTTGTGCATGGCGAAATTGTCAACGATTCTGAAGCCATTGACGTTTCGCCGCTGGTCCAGGCGACGAAGTAGATCTCGGCGTTTTTTTTCCTCCAATGCATGGAACTGAACAATATCAAAGAAGATGATCAAGATGTTATGTCCAAGGCCACATTGCCACAACTTTTCAAACATGCTGGTCAATCGTTCTTTATCAAATTAGTCACCGATCAGACGCCACCACCACCACCGAAAAAATATCAATGCAATCAATGCGACAAATCCTACACTTTACACTCCGGTTTGCATAATCATATACAAACAAAACACACCAAGATACGGTATCAATGTCAGTTCTGCCCCAAAACATATACCCAAAAAGGTCATTTGGCCAGACACATCGAGGACAAATACAGTAATCGAGGACAAACACTGAGTGCCCCAAGTGCATTTTTGAATGAAAACTAGAGTGTGATAAGAGATAAACGATTTGTGTCTTGAGCAAAGTTATAGAGCATTTCAAGTACAATATTCTTGCAAACACTATTCTGTTATCTCTTATCAGTTCCGCGAAAAACCGCCAAAAACGCGAAAAACGCGAGATTTTCCATATCATTTTTTACAGAACTGATCCTGTATGTACTTAACATACTTAAGTATGTACTTAACATACTTAAGCTTAAATACGAGGCTTAAGTACGTATGTTAACAAGTATGCTAAGTAAGTACTTAAGGGAGTTTAAGTACGTCTCAAGTCACGTAATTAAACTCAAGTATGTTAAGTACGTACTTAAGGGTAATTAGATTCTACGAACGAACAAACGAACATGTTCGTAAATTCTACGAACGAACGAACAAACGAACATGTTCGTAGATTCTACGAACGAACGAACGAACGAACGAACGAACGAACGAACGAACGAACGAACGAACGAACGAACGAACATGTTCGTAGATTCTACGAACGAACGAACGAACAAACGAACATGTTCGCATACGAACGAACGAACGAGCGCTCGTTGACCGCTCTGTATAGAGATACCGTATAAACTCTGTGACTCTCAGACGAGCTTGCCATTCATCCTCGTGAACACACCAGCAGGCGCAGATTTGCGACAAGGCATCCACTACTCAACAAAATCCGTCGCACAGAAAGCAGTTGTGCAGTGGTGCTGTTTGCACTTCGGCGTTGTTCGCTTATACATCGCCCGTTCATCGTGTTTCGTACGAACAAAATCAGTACTCAGACATGTGTGTGTATGTATGCGCCGAACGCTCAAAGCCGAGTTCCATACGACGCACGGGAGATGCAGAGAATGAAAACATAGGCAAAATTTGCATGGCCACAGTGATGGAATGAGTTGCTTTGGAGCGTTCGGCGCATAAGAAACACGATGAACGTGCGATGTATAAGCGAAAATCTCCGAAGTGCAAATAGAACGGCTGCACTACTGCTTTGCGTGCGGCGGGTTTTGTTGAGTACATTCAGCTGATTCGAGATTGGCATTCCCTTTATGATTAGGAATGATAATTTATGGATGCACCCTTTTCTGAAGAGTGTTATCCATTTTCAACAGAATTAAGTTTTCCTAATGAAAATTACAAAGAAATCCGTTCGTTTGAGATTTGTTTATTTGCTCTTTTTCGCCATGCCGCAACGCCATCGCATTGCAGCTCTATTTGCGTCCATTGTTTTTGTTCTCCATGTACACAATACCACCATTTCCTTCTTAATATTTTTCTTTTTCATTGAGCTTAATTAGCAAAGTTGCATAATTTTTCTTTTCATTTTACGCTATCTATGCCTCTCTCTCGCTCGTTCTGTCTTTACCTCCTCGTTCTTAGACGACGATTAAAATGGAGCGTTTTCTCATTCTTCCTTGTGCTGATTTCGCGTGTTGTGTTCTTGAACATCGTGTTCGTAAGTTTTGTTATTCAAATTCAATGATAGCATCGCATCGATCCAGTTCAAAGAAGTTGCTCTTCTGTTTCTCGCTTTTGTTCTCTCCTTTGCCCATGCTCGTTGGGAGCGCTATTTTTCCAACATGGAATTCATTATTTTGAAAGAAATGTGAATCGGGTAAACTTTCACAGGTTCTTCGTCAATTTTTTACACAGCTTGCACACTGCACACACAAAGGATTTTACAGTTTAGTTGGTTTTGTTTGAAAATTAAGTTTGACGCTCGCGATATTGTACGATATTTTTGAGATTTTCTTAATTTTAGTTTGAGCCTCATCCCAGCATTGCATTCTACTACCTTTGCCTGTACTTTTTGTTTGTCGAGGTAACCCCACACTTTTCTAACAAATTACGATGCAAGAGTGCGTATGATTGGTACATGATTGTTTATCAATCAAAAATCCGGCAACGCATATCAAACAAACATAAAAAAATTCAAAATCCACTGTTGTTGTTGATCCTTCGTCAAAATGTATGTGTGCATGTGTGCGAAAAAGCATACGCAAAAACAATTTTCCGTTGAAAAATGGTAAACTGGTTCGTTTACCCATTCACGAGCAAACAACAAAATGCGATAGTCGCTTGAAGCAGCCACCAAGCATACAATATTTGTGACGTTTCAATGGAAAATATATGAGCTCACAGTAGTTTCTGTCATGTGAATGCATGAGCTTGAACGGTATTTTGAGTGGCATGAGCTTATTAAATTGTGCCATACGCGATTATATGCACTTGCTGCTACATTGCGCAAATGTGCTTTAATAAGCAAAGCAGCCCATTGTTGAATGCATTGCATGTACGCCACGAATTCTGCACAGGAAAATAGCAGAAACGAACGAACAGAGCGAAAAAAAAGCGACGAATGAAGAAAACAAGAATGAGAATGAACACTTTTTCAAGAGTTTACAAGAATGTACACGGCGGGCGCATTTTTTTCATACGTTCTCTCTATCTCCCTCTTTCTTTCTTCCTGTACATTTCATATTTTACTTATCGCATTTGTTATTATGGTATTTTCTTCACTTGGTTTGAAAATTTAATTTTGTTTGGCCGCATGTGCAAAAACTCTTCTGTAAAATGAGTAGCAGAACGGTGCTGCATATACCACCTTTTTTTTGCTTCTTTTCGGTTGGCATGGTTTATTCCTCTCGTCGTATTCGGTGCTGGGTCGTGAATGTTGGTTTTCCGTAGTTTTGAATGAGTGCGGGCTTTTTTCTCACATAATACGACATCGACTTGAAGCACTAAGGACATCATTCTCGACGTGAAATACGATTTTAATTATGTTTTTCTTGGGCTTTCCCAGTTGGGTTGCTACTTCATTAACGCCATCTAGATTTTTCAAACGATGTGATTGTATGAATTTAATCCAATGTTTGCTCGCATTTAAGCAAACATATGACAATGTATTTTCATACCAAACGACGTAAGTGACAACGTAGTTGAATAGAAAAATGTACTGGTCTATTTATGGAATCATTATTTGTGACTCGAAATTCGGTCTCCTGCAAACGTACAGTGTTCGTCGTACACCTAACTATTCATAAATGAAATGATTTTCAAATGAGATGTATACCTCCTGAAGCAGGTAGGTTAAATGTTACCTATTTCGAATACAATGTTCCACATGGATTTTTCGTTATTTCATTAAAAATACCGGTGAAATCTTCCAGTTTACTCACGCACGACCATTCAAGTGCATGAGTATACGGTCAATAATAACGTTAAAACATATTAAAGGATACTGAATATGAAGAGACAATTGGCTTTGTCATTACCAAACTTTTGTAATTACGAGTAATTTAATTGTGTTTGAAAATGTATCGAATAAAGAGCGGTTTCGTTTATTCTAATCATACGTTGTCCTATTTGGGTTATTATAGAATTAGTGGACTTTCCCCGAAAATCAGTGCTATACACGGAGGTAAACAATGAAATATTTGAGAAAATAATTTCTAAACTTAAACGAAATTGAGAGATGATCTATACATGAGTTGGCCACACAAGCCAAAGTGTCGTTCAGTATGAATATTTCCGTTTACATGCTCCATTTCAATCAAGATAAGGATCAGTTACTGAAACCTAATTTGCTACAAGTATACATACGCAGAATTGAAAATTCGTACACGAATAAAGATGGGTTTTGTGTAGACTAGAGGGCCAAGTTGAAAGGCAACACGAAACTATCAAAATGATTAGCAAGCATATTACTTCATTTGCTGAATTGAATTAATACTTGAATGCTGTTACCGTACAGTAAAGGTAAACACAAGAACACGTACACAGCACATTATTAGTTTCGTCATGAGAATAGATACATCATATGGATTTATGTTAACAATAGAGCAACAGTGATTATGGCTCAATGTCGTTTCAACCAAATATTGTCATTAAAGTTCTTGAGCTGCATGGGTGCATGGCGGTTCGTACATTTTCTCGGAACTAAATTGGGGAGAAAATCACAAAAATGCCATTTTCGAATTTCCAATGA